GCTAAAGAAAACTAATACCCATTCAGTTGAGTCCATAAGGTGTGAAGTTCAAAAACATCTTGAAACAATAGTTATAAAAGAAGTTTAATATTTAAATTGATTTTCAAATATAGTAATGATGCACAAATTAAGTTGCAAATAGCAGATGTGTGTAAACTCCAATAACTTGAAGTTGACTTGCCTAAAAAGATGAATATCATCGCCCATGAATTGATGCTTGATTCAAATCAATTGCAAGCTTCTCTATTATGAGCTTTCTCTAGATATCATCAAATCGAATTGAAATGCATATGATCAACTCTGTGAAGACATCTTTCATCACTACTTGGCTTATATTGCTATAAACATCTATCATTACCAAAATATTTCCTTGTAGAACTTTCAAATCTTCATAGGATTATGTAAAACTTTTTATTGTATTTTACATTATATTTTTAAATAAGTGTTAGTTGGTATCCATTTTTGTCATCTCCAAAGTGTTTGGCATAATTTGAATTTATTTTTATTGTAACCTTTGTATTTGCAAGCAAAGCTTCATGAATCTTATGTAAGGAAAGCTTTTTTGTGAGATGTTATCTTTTTAATGTGGGTAAATCTTCTTGTGGCTTTGGTGTTTGATAAATTTATGAGATTGTATTTTTTTGCATTACTTTATTTTTTTTGCACCAATGCTCATAATTTAGAAATTGGTAGGTCAATCTTCTTATCGATTGAATTTTTTAGATTTTATGCAACTCATATTGCTCTAGTTGTTGGGAGTTTTGGCTGCCAACCAAGAGATTTTGGATTCGAAGCTTACATAAGTGTTGTGTGCATGAGTTTATCTTAATTGGCCCAAATGTCAACAAAAAAGGTAAGATATTCTAACTAATATTTTGTTTATAAACAGTTATTTCAAATGTTGTGAAATCATATCATGGTGGAATTAGAAGAAGGAAAGGTTCACAGTTAGACCGGTATGATGTAATAAATAATAATATTATTAAAAATTAATAAAACTAACATAATACTATGATAATCTAATCTTAAAATTCACATAATATAATAGGATGTTTAAGTTATATTTAACTTAGCAAAACATAAACAAAATAAATAGTGTCATATAGGGGCAACATAAATATCTATATCCTTCTTTTATTTTTAGTGTTCAAATGCAATCTCAATAGAAGAAAGTTAGGGTTGAGCCAAACACAATTCTTCAACTCAAACATTTAAAAACAAGTGCCACATCATAGGCTCCTATATAATTAAAAATTTTCCCAATTAATTGCATTAGGGAATTTCCACGAACACATGGAGGGTCGTTAGCTACTTCCTGTGCCTTATTCTTGGCTGAATCTATGGATTTTACACACTTGTTTGTTGTAGTTCCCAAGTCATTCACATCCACTACTAAATTCATAACCATTTTAGCACAATCTTTCATGGACATGTCGACGTCCATATACAAGACATTACATATCGAGAGACTGACCTATTCATGCCGAGCAACATCTCGATCCAATGTTAAATTGTGATTCAGCTCATGTTCACACTACAGGAAAAATGCCTCTTATCGGCGGTTATGACCGGCGGTTAAAGGACCGCTAGTATTACCGGCGGTGTGGCCGCCGGCTCTTACCGGTGGCGTACCCGGGGGTTTCGTAACGTTGGACCGCCGGTATTAGCGATGGTATTGTAACCGTCGATTAGACCGCCGGTCTTCAATCTTACCGGCGGTGTACCGGCGGCATATACAGCCGTTGATAAGTGATGAAATTACCGGCGGACATGACTGCCGGTAAATGCCCTAAAATGAACGAGCTCGAGCCTTGCATTTCATTTCTAATCTTTCCTTCTCTCTGTTCGGACGAGCTCTGCCGTCGCCTCCGCCCGTCTCACTTGATCGTACGCACTGTCTTGCCACCGACGACTGCTCTCCGACCGCCGACGAACTCAGTCCGACTGCCGACCCCACACCAGTCGCCTATCGCGCGATCAATGTCTGTTATCTCGCTGCCGTCGATCTCACACCGGCTACCCTATTTTTCATGTGAGTTGAAGAAAAATCGAGATTTAAAGGTATTCTTTAATGTTTTTTGTGATTATGTGTTCTCACTATACATTTGCAAGAGTTTGTAATTTATTTTATGATTGATTGTGTCTTAGGGTTATAATTAAATTTCCATGATTTAGGTTTGTAAGAGTTTGTAATTTATTTTAAGGATAGGTTACAATTTAATAGTATTATTGTATCAAAAGGAAATACTCAAATAATTGGAGGGAGTTATTGAGCATAGGTTACAATTTAATAGTATTATTTCTCAAAATCAATTTGGATTCATGTCAATAGAATGCATAAGAAAGGTCTAACCATATTTAGATCAAGAAAGAGTACCTTGGTCGGGAGCCAACACCATTGGAGTTGCATACAAGAACTCATCAACATCAAGCTGACCATCAGTGGGTTGATGAGAAGTCTAAGAAGGCTCATGTGAGTAAAATTTTTTGGAGTTTTAGAATAAAAATTTATTTTAATAAAACTAATTGTAACTCGCAGGATGATTTTGTACGAGATAGAGAAAGTCGGCAGTCCACTGGCGAGGGATCATCTTCTGGATCGGGCTACATTTCTGAGTATCAAACATGGTCAGAAGTTGTTGGTTGAAGATAGAGGGGGAGGGTATATGACATGGGTTCACAGGCTTATACTATTGAGGGCAGTTCATCCACCTCTGCATTTCATGATCCAAGTGAAGCTGAAGAATCTGAAAGCGAATCTGTAAGCGAGAGGGTTGCAGCGCTGACTAGGGAGATTGAAGAGATGAGAAGGGTTCAATCTAGAGAGATTGAAGAAATGAGAAAAGTTCAAAATGAAATGCAAGCAGAGCTGCAATCATATAGAGTTGAAAATCAAAGGAAGAAGGAGCAAGAGGAGTAGCCATCTCCAGACAGTGAGGATATAGCTGAGGATTAGATCTTTTTTATGTTTGATGATTGTATTTAAAACTTGTGATTGTAACCTTATTGAATTTAGAACTTGGTGAACTTATTTTATGTTTGATGAACTTATTTAGAACTTCTTAATGTTTGATTGTAAACTTGTTTATTTAATTTGTGGTTATGTATATAATTGTGATGAATATAACGACGTGTTGCCCAAAATATCTTATTATGTATTGTCATTTCTGCAAGTTTAGAATTTAGGGTGAACCTCCCTCAAATAGAGGGAATGCTGTCAATTTTTTTTTTCAGGTGCTACAAGTTTTCGGTGGCCAACCGGCGGTTAGGCCGCCGGTAACTACGATACCGGACGGCTTAAGCTAAGCCACTGATAATTCCGTTAAACCGTCGGTACAATACCGGCGATTACCGATGACTACCGGCGGTTATCCGGTGAAAAGCCGGCGGTGTATGCCGCTGGTATTTTCGTCGGCCTTGACCGCCGGGTGCCGTCGGTAAAATAATCAGCGGTGTACCGACGCTCGCCGGCAGTTAAGCGAACACACGACGGACTCTTTAACCGTCGGCATACCGTCGGTAAAGTGACCGTCGGTAATATAATCGGTGGCTCGAAGGCTGAAAAACCGCCGGTTACAAATCCGGTAGTCACCGGCGGTATACACCTCCGAAAAATGGCCGCCTAACAGAACCGCCGGTAATAAGCCGCTGGTAAAAGTTTCCTACGCCAATTTTACCGACAGCGTGAAAACCGTCGAGAAACCGCCGGTAAAATATAGAACCGCTGGTTTTGACTTCCTAACCGCCGGAAAAAATTGTCGGTTTTTAACGTTTTTCCTGTAGTGTCATGATCACAGTCAGCCTCATAATCAGGCATTACTTCAATTTTGTCAGACTCAAATGCTAGAATCGAGCTGGAAAACAAATGCTTGTTGGCTAATCCAACTACATTAGCCGGTGAAGACTACGAAAAAACTTGCAGCATGTGGTTCGTATTCACTGATAGGGAAGGAGACGGAGATGAGTGTGGAGAGTTAGAGAAAGCTGGTAATTTCTTAAAACCATTCCCGATTCACCAATCTAGCGGTTGTTGGACAACGGTTTTGAAGTTGGGTTGCTCTGATTTGTTACAAAGCCGGTTAAGGAAAAGGACCGAACCGTCGGCTGGCTAGTTCTCAGTTTAACCAGTTGAAACAGTCGGTCCAGTCTAATTTTTAAAACACTGAGTATTTCTTTTAGCTTTAGTGCACTAGGGAATTATGAAGGTGTTACATTAGATCATAAATGGCTAAAAAAATATTGAGGTTTATAAAAGTAATAAGAAGACTTAAAAAATCCTGATCTTATGAATTGAATTGCTAGAACACCCCATACATCCTGACAATTAGATATCTATCACATTCTGCCAGTATAGAAGAGATGTTGGGAGCCTGGTCGGATGGTCCCCTATCAAATGCAGGCACAGGTAAGGTGACAAACTAGCTCAAGCATGTTCGATTAAAGCCAATCTAGCTCCAGAATAGACCTTGTTTCGTGTGTTTCTTAGTAGTGTTAAAATTATCATAATGAGATTATCACTTTGATAACAAATTTGTGCTTGAAAATTTCAAAGCTAAAAATAATTGCTTTGAAATGCAAACTGGCTTTCAGCCACAATTGCAGGAAACTCATTTTATCAATCTTGTATTTAAAAATAAAGTGTTTCATCTCCATTGTTGGTTCGTGATGAGTTTATTAAAGTTATACAAACATTTTTCCAAAACAAAATTAAGAACATTAATGAGCTATGTTTCTGCTGTATAGAACGCATGGAAAATAAATTTAACGCTGCAGTTGACAATTGATGAAGTGAAAAGGTTCAATTCAATGGCCACAAGATAGTTAAAATTTTAAAAATCCAAAAGATCTAAACTGCAACAGCATAAAACAATCAAGCTACTGTTATTCGTAATTATCTTGAAAACTTCTGTAAACACCTGCAATAAATTCGAGCTTCAAAAAAAAAAAAATTTCAAAAACAATGACGCATGAGAAGCAGAATTCAATAAATATAGAGTACATCCACTTTTTAGAAAGACAGACTTAGTTAACATAACTTAAGACCATCAAATCTATTCATGTATATCTGAAATCTGACACTCCAAGTTCGCAAAACCAAAGAAGGAAAAAGAAAGGAAAAAAAAATAAATAAAGAAAGAAAGGAAGCGTTCAATAAATACATACACTACCTTAAAGTGTTTTAGAAACCTAGTAAGCATGGCGATAGTGAAGAGTCCTACGTCATGCACGTCGACTGGCCATGAAGAAGCCATGGAAGCAAGCCATTCTTCACTTACTACCAAAGAAACATAACAAGGACTCGTACTTCTGCACATGCCTCGTAGAGCAAAGAAGCAGAAGATGACCAGTTCTTGTTGATCAGATAGCAGATAGAAGAACACCAGAAATCCATATTAACTGCTTCTTTTCCCCTATCAGAGCCTTTATTGCAAACCATATCCCTTCTCACGAAAAAGATCCATCCCCTTAATAGTAAATAAAATAAAAAGAAAGAAATTGAAGTACTTGCATGTTGATACCATATGAGATCTTCCACCTTCTATTGGTACGTTTGGTAGACAGAGATCCTATAAGAAATTTCACACAGTAATATATGTAAGTGCTCATCATCATTTGATTTTAATGTATGTTCTTAAATAAAAAATATAAAAAATCTCAATGACAATTAAATGATAACAAGCACTTCCTCATAAAGATTTATATAAAAAAACTACTCACAAGATTTTTATTTTGGTAAAAAAGAAAAATTATCATAGGATAATCTAACCGTTTTGGAGGAGAAATTATTATGTGCAAAGTCTGGATGCAACTTATATCCGAACTCAAATTAAAGTATGTCACATCGCCTGCATACAACTTTCGTACAATCTTATATATAGTGTGTGTATTATACACATATTATGTATATGCGACTTGATTTGCATCTAATAACTTCTCATTTTGGATGCTTCAATGCTTGTGAATTTTGAATGTAATTGTTAATATCATATATAACATTAATTTGATTATGAATTTAAATATTTTTGTTCCTATTTTACACAGAAAGATTATGATATATTTATACATTTTTTTTTTATAAATCTCAACTAACATGCATGGAGGTAAGTGCAAGGCATTCGATTCTCAACCTGATTGAAAACTGATAGTACTCTCAATCATTAGTCTAAGTTGTGTTGCATTGCTTGTTAAGATAAATCTATAAAGATTGTTTTTATATAAGAATAAATAAAAGAAGTTTTTGTACCTCATTGAATTTTTTTTCTTGGTCTAATTATATTAACAAAAAGAAATTAACGCTGAGAAATAATTTCTATGATGAATACCATATAAAATCTCCATCCAGTTTGCCATGGCCTTCATGGACTGGCAAGCTAGATCGACCTGGGCTCAAGTATGCTCGACAGGTTAGCTGTCCTCTGCCTCTTACTGCTGCTACCAGCAGCAGGCTCGTCAGCCGCTACAGTGCGCTCCATCACTGCCTTCAGCGCATCCTGAATCGATTCAACCGAGTACTGCTGCTGATCCGTGCTGTCGATGTAATCGTCGGCGGTGATGACGAGAACATTCTTAAACCGTCCGCCGAGAGTGGTGATCTCAGCCTTTATCGTTCGGAGGTGGAGAGCTTTCAACGCCTTGATGAGTTCAGGGAGGAGATCGGTGCGGTCTTCACAACATAACGAGGCTGTCACAATGAGGCGGCCTTCTTCGTCGCTTGTTGCGTCGACGGTGAGCTCGTCGTTTTCGGTGGGTAATGGGCTCTCTTCGGCGATCTCTGAAGTCTGTCTCTTTAGTTCTTTCACATGCTGTATCACCTCAGCGAGAAGGGAGGCCTTGTCGGTCTGAAAATAAGTAGAGAGGATGATCAGGCGTGCGAGGTAAAGACGAGAGTGGGGTTGCTATAGGGTTGTAACAGAGAGAGTGCGTATGGTAGCTATGGGGTTTCTTTAATGATATGGCGTGCGGGAGTTGAAAGAGTGGTGGACAAGCCCGCATGCACGTTTCCAGATGGTAAAGGAATGTGTTTGTGGGCTTGGAAGTGATTGATTATCATTGAACTTTTTTTATACTTAAAAATAAAATAAAATAATGGCCGCATAGAACTTTGTCTCTGTCTCTGAAAGTAGTGCGCGTGTTTCATCTTTCTACTCAGTGTCGCCATTTTCCGGCAGACACAACTCTGCTGTAAGCTTTTTGTTCTTCTGCCCCTCTTTAACATATCAACAAGGTGTGTTTCTCTCTATCTATCTCTCTCTTCATTCCATTTCCTTTTTTATTGCATAGAACACTTGAGAGCTTGTGGGCAACATGACAACAAACTAACCTTCAATTGCAATCCTCTGATGAATCAAAATGGAGAATTTGCTTTTTGTTACAAAGATTTCTTTTTTATGATTTATCATGAGGGTAGATTTGTTTGGAATATTCAAGAAATTGGAAGAAAAAAAAATTTGAAATCCTGATAATTTATGATCAGATGATTATAGACTATGCTGAAATGATTAAAGACCTACTTTAGTGGTGCTGGGGAGGAGGCTGCGCAGCTTCGCAAGGTGAGCGTTGATCCGCTCACGGCGGCGGCGTTCAGCCTCGCTGTGGCTTTTGGACGCGGCGAGCGCCTTTGCATCCATGATCTCTTGCGCCGTCATCTTCCCCAGCTCCGCGTGAAGCCCACCAAAAGCTGTAGACACACCACCACCTCCCAGCAGCAAGGCGTCGGAGGGTCCTGACATGTACAGCCCGGCAAGCCCGATCGGGTCGGACGCGGCCAGCCCAATCGGGTCGTAAGCGAAGGTCAGCCGCCGGGAGCAGAAATCGCCGTAGAAAGCCGCAGGAGGAGGAAGCGGAGGGAGTACTGATGAAGGGAAAAAGGACCTGTTGTCCTGCCAAGGGAGAATTGGAGGGAACAAAGAGTCTCCTGATCCGTCGTGTGACTCTTGATCCATTCGAAAGGTGGAGTAACGAATTACGCTATCCAACTGGGAAGACGAAGAAGGATGCATATCTCCAACGTCGTTTTCCATAAAATTAAACTGTGGGATTCAATCGATCTCCAATAAGATCGATGTATATATATATATATATATACAAATATATAATATATATATAAGTGAATGAGATGGAATTGTATAATAAGTGTAGGTTTGTTTGGCTCTCGGTGTCTCTGGTTGGGGAGTACGGCAAAGCCCCTGCGCGGCTGCGTTTTACTTTACTCTTACGCCATTTCTCTGAAGAATATTATAAGGGTTAAAACTGGGTTCATAATTACAAGGGTAGCAGCAAGGTGTAGGCTTGCAGGCAAGGCCGACCGACCAGCGAGCAGGCGAGAGCAGAGACAAGCACAAAAAGAAGAGAGTTTGAGAGAGGGGCGGTGGAGAGAAAGGAGTAGTCGGGTCAAGGCCCACGTTCTGCGACCCCTCACTCACTTGCCTTTCTGCTTCTATCTCTGCTTTTCAGTTCCACGCCTCTCTACCTGCTTTCTCCGAAACCACGTAATGATTTTTCTTGGAATACACTCTATGTCTGCTTCTCTCTCTTTCTATTACTATCTCTTGCGTTTCTGCGCTGGGCTTTCTCTGAGTTGAGATATACAATGATCCTTTCTCTCGCTAGTGCTGTAGAGATTATAAAAATATATATACATGGAGAGAAAGAGAGAAATGGTACGGACAGGGAGTAAAGTATATTATGTGATGAAGGGGTTGGAAGTGGGAAAAGAGGAGATTAGGGCGTGTTAGGGTTTGGGGGAGATGAGCGTGGACACAAGTGATCGAGTTGGTCCCCGGGAAGAGGAAGGAGGGGCGTTGTCTTTTGAGCCCTTTTTGGCTGGAGCGTTCAAAGAAAGGAATGATGCCACCACTAGCAGAGCGCAAGAGGGAGAGAGAGAGAGAGAGAGAGAGGGTGATGATGAGCTCAGTCCCACGCTTTGGTGACGTGGGTGGAAGAAACAGTTTAGCTTCAATGAAGATCTGCATTTGCGAGTGTGCGTGTTTCAAGGGAGAGATTTTTCCTCTTTTGTGAAGAGGGCGTAGAAGTTCATTTGTCCAGTGTATGAGTTATTCGTCATTCATACATACGTAAATAAATAAATTTAAATAAATTTTTTAATTTATTTCATTATAAATAAAAAATGATTTATGATTATTTTAATTATTAATGTAATAAGTAGTAATTAATGCATGTTAGATAATTCTTAATGATAAAGAAAAAGTGTTTAAGGTTTTAGTTTTGTATAAATATTTAGCATATATACATGCATATACAAGAATAATTGCAAGAGATACTAATATTTGTATGTGAAAAAAACTGAGAAAAAGAAAAAGAAAAATTATGAGGTCTAGCCAAATTAAAATATTTCCACTAATAAATATTATTGATTACAAATAATACATTTTTCATATAAATAGACAAGGTGTTGATATAGTATGGTAGGTATGAATTGTTTTAAAAAAAAAATTCATGATGGAATCTGAATGACTACTGCGTCATTGGATCTATATTCAAGAAATCATTTGTAGCTAGTTGATTTGGTTGTTCTCTTTTGAGTTGAGAAAGATAAAAAAAAAAAAAAAGTATAATGATAGGAGTCAAAGTTGATATAGACAACATACATTTACAGTATTGGCGATAATGTGTTTCGACATTGGTAATGATGGCAGAAAAAAAGTTGGTGGGTGTTGATATTGGTATCGACGTTGTGCATTGATCTTATAGGTGATGATCACATACAATGATGTATTGACAATGTCACACGATGAATGTAGCAGGTATCATTGTTGGTGTTGACATCATGCATCATTCTTATAGACAATGACATGCATCAACATTGGTGAAGACAACTGACATCATAGTATGTTGGTTGGGAGATGATGGTTTGAAAATTATGATCGGACAATAGTAGTAGGAAAATCTGATCGTGTAATACAAGTCAAGAGATCATGCTCGACAGACAATAATGAAGAGACCATAATTAGTAGACAGAGATTGGGAGATCTTAATCAAGCTAGCAATGTTAGTTGGGAAACTACAGTTTAGCGATGATAATTAAGAAACCTTAGTCCAGTGATAGTGATCACAAGATAGTAGTCTAGTGATGAAGTCATAGTTGGACAATGGTGGTTTGGAAATAATGGTTGGACGATAGTGATCAAGAGACTATTATTAGGCAATGGTGGTCAGGAATCCATTGTCAGATAATGGTAATTAGGAGACTATATTAAGGTGATAGGATTTAGAAGACTGCGATCAAGTATGGTGGTCAGGAGCCCATAGTCAAGTGATGGTGGTTGGGTGATTATTTTTTAGTGACAGTTGTCATGATATCATAATTAGGTGATGGTGATATGGAGATCATAGTCAGGTGACGATGGTCGAAAACTATACATGTGTAATGATGGTTGGGAGACTGTATTCAGAAGATTATAGTCGGGAGGCAATGGTTAAAACATCATCCAGAGAATTTTTCCTAGCATTAGATAACCAAATAGTTTCCAAATATGACATGCTTATATTGAGCAAGTCATTGACAAAAATCCAACGAGCTTAAGATCATCAACATTTGATATCATTAAGACACTCAAATATTTAATAATTAGTTCACAATCATGGGAGTTAATATCATCCATCCATTCAAAACACTCTCAACATGCCCTTGATCTTCTCTCTATTTATTGGTCATGACACAAAAAAAAATCTATAAATAGACCCCCCATTCTTTATTGAGAAAGGGTCAAGAAAGGAAGATAAATCAGAGTTTTCTTGCAACCAGACTCTTTCCTTACCACTGCCTGGCCACCTACTGTTATTGGACTTTCGCTAAACTTTGCCGGGCCACTGACTGTTGCTGGACTTCCTCCTAATTGTTGACCTTATTTTTGTGTGAGTTAATCAGGACCAACCTATACTAGCCATTAATCTGATGGAACGTTGACAAGGCTCTAGGTGTCAATCATCTAGATTTTAAATTAGGACTTAATCTATTCAATTCTTCAAGTTAATCCTTATCTTAAATAAATTCAAACTTCAAATCAGTGCAAACTTCAAACCTATCCAAACTTCAAGTCAATCTAGCCTCCTATCAAACTTTAATCCTACCCAAACATTAACATTCATTCAGTTTATTGTAAGTTATTTGGATAATTCAAATTCAATCATTCAAATCTAAAGCCTAGCTCAAACCCTAAAATCTAGACCAAAATCCAAAGTTAAAGTCTTATGTCCTGAAAACCTCTTTGAGTGATTTTTTAATCTCTATAAAATATAGTCAAATGATCTCTAATTCTTGATCTATTAATTGCATATTGATTAGAAATATCCTTATAATCAACCTTACAAATTTGAGCTTAATTTCAGACCTATAGCCCTAAAAATGAAATCTATTTCCAAAGGTTATAAAACATTCAAATATTTACTATCTATGCCACTAGACCTTCCACCTTATGGAATTTGATCTTGGGAACTTCCCCAAGACCTTTGATCATATCCAAAACCTTAATTATGATATGTTAAGCACTAAATAATATTTTTGTAGACCCATATTGGCCTATATTAGACCAGAGGTTAAAATGATCAAAATGTCTCTTGAGGGTAAAATTGAACTTTCTTTTAAACTTCAACATGCCTAATCAAATCAAATACTAAAACTTCCTCTAATGCATCTTAAACACCATTAGGAATATACTGAACTAAAGCTTAGACCCTAGTCAAGCTTGGTTGACCAAGTCAATCTATTTTGACCAAAATATCCCTTAAGGTTTAAAATGGTCATTTTAATTCAATTGGCCTCATGTTTGCATGAGATCACTTCCATTCAACTCAAAATGTTAAACCAAACTTATTGAGCCTAAGCCCAGATCCTGAGTCAAGATGGTTGAAACCTGGTTAATTTGACCCAAATAATAATTTCAACCCTTATGACCACCTCTAATATATTCCATTGATTAAACTAACCCTCTTGAATCCAAAGCCAAGCCCTGAGTCAACTTGGTTTACCAAGTCAATCAGAGTTGACCCCAATCACCATTAAGCTTTCTTACATTGTATTAAACTTCAAGTGTATCCAAGCCCCATCAAACATTCATATCCATTCGTTTAAATGGTTTATATACATATAAATTTTCCCATGACTCAAACTAAATAAGTTTGACCAAGTCAACTGTTCATAATTGATCAAACCCCTATGGTTTTAATCAAACCATTTCTAACACTAAATAAAATCCCTCTAAATCTTTGAACCCATGCCATTTGATGATTTAGATATTCCTTAGCCTACCATGAGCTAAGTCATGGTCAAGTTGACTTAGTCAACTCAACAAAACTTAGTCAAATCACCTTATGGTCTTACACTTTCGTTTAATTTCAAATCCCTTAGCCTCATATCCCTTCCAATCCATACCACCAGCACTCAAGACCCTCCCACATACCACCTTGGTAGTCAATTTAACTAGCCAAACTTGTCAACAAGCCATTAAATCCCTTTGAACTGGTCAAATCTATATGCTTAATCTAATCTCATCCATTTTAAATCATTCTAAAAGTCTTAATCACTTTATAGAATATTCTTAAGCTAGCTTTAAACCCTAAATTAAACTTAAACTAAGCCAAGTGGTCCCAAAAGTTCATATGAGGCCAAAAACATCTTTCCACCCAAGTGTCCTTGGGTTGTCCTTTCTCCTACCCTCAAAGTCATTTTGGACACTTGGCATGCATCTGGGATCCAACCAAAATGATCCTACCCATCTACAATGGTCTTGAACTTTTGAATTAGCCAAAAGAATCAAAATGAGTCTCACACTTACCCCAAGACTCTCTCACTATCCAGTGCTTCTCCAGCCCAATTCTCAATTCATTTGAGTTTTCCTTAGCCCTCTCTACATTCTCATTTGAGTTTTCCTGCATCTGGGATCCAACCAAAATGATCCTACCCATCTATAATGGTCTTGAACTTTTGAATTAGCCAAAAGAATCAAAATGAGTCTCACACTTACCCCAAGACTCTCTCACTATCCAGTGCTTCTCCAGCCCAATTCTCAATTCATTTGAGTTTTCCTTAGCCCTCTCTACATTCTGTTGGAGAAATGAAGAGATGAAGAGATATTGATGGAAGTAGAAGAATATATTTTTTTCTCTTACCATTTCAACTATACATCATCCCTATTTATACTAGTGGTTACAAGTAGTTCTAGATTTCTCTATATATTCTAGAAACATCTATTTTTAATAAGCATTTACTTCAAAAGATAAGCATCCTAGAAGATTCTACATTAATACTTAATGGTGCAATAATCTAGATAAGGGAATACTCTAGAATGAGAAGCATTAATTTCTAATACTCCTCCTTGCTGCTCATTTTGTGACTCCAAGTTTATCACGAAGTTTTTGAAATTTATCTCTGGATAGAGCCTTTGTGAAAATGCCTGCCAGTTGTTCTTCAGATTTGCAATGTATCAACTTTATTTCTCCTTTAGCTTCTACTTCTCGTAGGTAGTGATATTTTATAGCAATATGTTTTGTTCTGTTGTGAAATACATGATTCTTA